CTGGAGAAAGTCAGAAGTCACTAAGCAGTTTTAGACCTCAACAACATAGAGGAGGTGAGGAAATGGGAAAGCTGGAAGTAAAACGAGAAAGCACTATTAGGAGCTCAAGATTCTCAAAGCCACGGGTGTTTCTGTGGGAGAGAGCTGCTGATATGGTGGAAGGCCAAGCTCATTGGAGTAGAGGAGGTTAGAGCAAAGACTAAATAGTCGGCTCAGACTTCATCAGGCTAGTCTCCCAGGCCCACAGCATTAGACAAGATAGGCAGGAAGCTAGAGAGTCAGTTGCAGATCCACAGTGGCTGCAGGAGAGTGATGTGGAGGCTACAGATGATGGAGAGAGGAGGAGGGAGTATAAACTGAATGCTGGGAGTTTTAATGTAGGAAGGACTGTTACTCTTCTGTTACTTACTAGAATGCTGATCTGTATATGGCAATGGGCAATCGATAGAGGAATGCTCCAGAGAGCAGAAGGAAGGGCAAAACTGAATGGAGATCAAAGGGCTGGAGAGACAGGTGATAGGAAGAGCCCATACCTTAGATGGAATTGTGGGATGGGCCCAGTCGGCTTCAGGATTCCAAAGGTAATGCAATTACATGTACTTTGGCTGATGCCTAGAACACAGCAGGTTCTGAAGAAATATCTTTGTAATTAAATAATGTCTTTTGCTTTTAGGATTTTTTTTTTAACTGTATGTATTCAGCTTCCATAACTTAGTCTTTAAACTTGCTAGCTCACCTGTAGACAGCTTCCGGGCTTCCTCACCACAGATTATGATAGATTATTCAGTGCAATTCAGCTCTTTCATTGTCTGTTTTCCTTTTCTACAAATCCCTTTCTATAAAATGTCCAATTTAACTCTATACATAAGAGAAAGACATAAAGTTTCTAGGCTCTTTTTCTAAATTAATAAAATAAGAGTAACAATAATAAATGGGTGGTTTTTTTGTGTTTTTGGTGACCATGCTGCAGTTTACAAATTATCTCAGTTACCATTTATTTATTAAACTCTCACAAGGTAGGCAAGATGGGTATTACTATGTCCAATTTTTCACGTAATCAGTGTAGATAGGTCCTGTGACTTTCCAAGACTGCACAGCTTCACAAGGCAAAAAACATGGGAAAGCCAGACTGGAACCAATGTACTTCAAGTCTGAATTACAAGATCTAGGATCGTGTTTCCTTAAACTTTAATATGAGTTTTTTCAAAGTATAGCTTTAATAGGTCTGGGGTGGGGTTTTGGAATCTGCATTTGAAGCAAACATCTGACACTTATGTTTCAATGATCATACTCAGAAAAACACTCATCTAGAAAATCCTATTGCCCCTTTTCTCTTAAAGGGAAAAAATGAGGGAGATCTTACCTTGTATAAATCAAAGAACTTTTTTCCCCTTGGAGAACTGGAGCCTCCAGCTCCTCTCTTCTGTGACCTACCTACACACACTGATAAAGTTAATTACCTGCCCTGGCTAAATGACTTTCCTTAGCAGCACCCTAGCAACTAACATCAGCTCTGCTTTAGGCTACAAAACTAGAAGGAGATTTCTTGAAGTCTAGTATATTTTACAAAAGAACAAAACATCTGAACAGGAAATTAAGGGGAAAGTAAACTGGATTCATTGCTAGGAGATGAGAAATAGACACATGAAATAGTTCATGAAATCCACTGGAACACAATAGTCAAAATGGGAAACTTCTCCTCAGTTCTACTGAAGTCCAGAGGAGGGGAGGCTACAGAATCTCATTTTATGGAGGAGAATATAAACAGGCAGGAGAAGGGAGGGCATTCCAGGCCATGAGAAAGCTGTAAGCTATGGTGCTGAGGCAAGACTGAAAATGGAGGACGCAAGGTGCCCAGCCAGGCTGTTCTGGGAGCTCAGACCAGGATCTATGACCAGGCACAACCAGATGGACACAGTGAGACCAGATTGTGGAGGGCCTTGGAGGTCAAGTCTTAAAATTTGGGCTGAGTCAGAAGGGTAGCCTACTGAGGGTAGTCTTGTTAAAAACTTTTTATTCAGAGGACAAATATTTATGGAGCTCCAACTATGAGCCAGGCATGGAAGATACAGTAGTAAGCCCCATAGACATTCCCTACCTTTGTAGAGCTTAGAATTTAGTCATAGAGACAAATACTGAACACATAGAAAATTTTTTAAATCAAGCATATAAATTAATAGGTCATTATAAATCTTAAGCATATTAAAAGAAGTTGGGTGTGGTGGCTCATGCCTATAGTACCAACAATTTTGGAGGTTGAGGCAGGAGGACTGCCTGAGCCCAAGACTTTGAGAACAGCCTGGGCAATGAAGGAAGGAAGGAAGGAAGGAAGGAAGGAAGGAAGGAAGGAGGGAGGGAGGGAGGGAGGGAGGGAGCGAGGGAGGGAAGGGAGGGAGGGAGGGAGGAAGGAAGGAAGGAAGGAAGAAAGGAAAGAAGGAAGGCAGGTGAATGAGGGAGAGAGGGAGGGTGGTGGGAGAGGGAAAAGAAGAAAGAAGGAGGTGGTGATTAAAAGGAAAGGTACTCATGAGTTCCAGCAGAGTTTAAGGGGCTGGAGCTATTCTAGGAAATCAGAAAGGCCTTTGAGGAAGCAGTTTCACACTGAGATCTGAAGAGTGCATAGAAATTGGCCAATGGAGAGTGGTGGGTAGGAAAGACCAAAGAGCAAAACAGGATTCCAGGCAAAGAGGACAGCACAGGCAAAGCCCTTGAGAGAGGAGCTGCATGGCTGGAGAAGCAGATCAAGCAGAGCCTTGGAGGCCTTGCTGAAGATTCTGTTTTTATTCTGAGAGCCCTGAAAAGCCACTGAGAAAAGAGTTTAACCTCAGGATTGACATTCAAATCTGCATTTTGAAAAAGCGCACTTGGGTTTCAGTGAGAGGATGGACGGAGGGAGAGCACAAGTAGACAAGGGCAACCCAGTTAGGAGGCTAAGAGAGAAGGTCAGCTCGGACTGGGGTAGTGGTGGAGGAGAGCACCAAACTGTTGATGTGATGGATTGGATGAGTGACGAGGAGAGCAGAGGTCTGAGTAACAGCCAGGCTGGTTTAGAGAAACCTAGCTCATATAGTGGCATTGGAGCTTGGTGAGCTGGTTGGAGCCTGCCACCATAGCCCAGATGATAGGGCCAACACTGTGTACCGGAAAGTACCTCATTTGGTAGTGGGGAGGCCTGTTTTAAATCTTGGCTGTTTCCTATAATGGCCATGGAACATTACCTCAGCAGGTAATTTCATAGGCTCCTAATCTGGAAAATAGGAGTGCAGAGGTGAATTGGAGCTGCCTACTTCACATCGTTTTCCTGTCAATAGCCAATACAAACTTAAATATCACATTCCTGCCTACTTCCTCACCCACCTTCAACTTAGACTTGAACGTTTTGTAGATGAAAAGAGGTTCAAGAGCACAGATTTGAGCTTTCAAACATACACTAAGCTCTGTGAAGACAGAAGTCATAATTTATTCTAGTTTCCTGCCTTCTGAGATAAGATCGGGTACACTTTCCAGAACCACCTATTTTAGTTTGTAGTATACATCACAATTATAATTTGAAAATATTCATATAATTATGTATTTAATATTTGCCTTTGCCACAGGCCTGTAAAATCCTCAAAGGCAGGTAACATATCTGTGTGTCTTGTATCCAAGCTCTGAGCACATGAGTAGATGCATGGATGGATGGATGGATGGATGGATGAATTTTTGTTCCCTCTTCTACCTACCAGTCAGCACAGAGCCTAGCTCCAAATCCACTTAATGAAAGCGTGCTGGATGAATGGGATCGTGCCACTTGGAGTGCATCATGAGCTCTGAGCCAGTCAAGTGAAGATGCAGACAACTCCCTCAGCACTCAGACATAGATGTGAACCTCACCTCAAAAAGGAGAGCTGAATCAGGTGCTGCTAAGGTCAAGAAAGGCTAGGGATGAGAGAAGCGCATAATTGGCTTCAGCAAGGGGTTACTCTCAGGTGACCTCTGAGAAAAGGCATCCAGTTAATAGTGGCAGCAGGAATTCCAGCACAAGCACTGAGGAGTAAGTGGGCAGGCAGGGAGGAATGAAGGCCTCCCATGCAGGTGGCACCCTGGGCCTGTTTGTAGTGCTGTGAAAAAGAAAACCCTGACCTGGAAAGCAAAGGAGATTGCTTGCTAAATGTAGGCCTAGGAGGTGTGTTGAAGGCCCTGAGCAAAAAGAAGAAGAGAAAACCAAAGCATTTGAGAGCACCTGGGGAGGGACGCTTGTGTGCACTGAGAGGCAGGGGGTTTAAGGTATCCTCAAGCGGGTGAGGGAGTGGGCGCCACTGGAGACCAACTCAAGTGTTTTATATGGGTCATATCATTTAATTCTAGCATATTCTCCCCACTCTCCCCTCTAGGAAGGGTGTACTGGCACCCACCCCCATTCCCTTGTTCTCCAGAGCAGGAAACAAGCTTGGAGGGTGCAATAACTAGCCCAGGCTTCCCAGTGGGTGAGTGGTGGGACTGAGGTTTGATTCGGGTCTCTTCCCAGGCAGACACTGGGAGAGATTCTTGCCCTGGGTCTTTTCCCTTCAGGCCCTCAGGCTCAGCACCTCTCTGAACATCTGTCCCTGGAGACTGAGAATCTGATCTAAAATGTAAGCCAAGAAAACACAGGCTCTTCACTGAATCTTTCAAAACTCATTTCCAGGGCTGTAGGAGGACCTTCCTGAATCTTGGGCACTTTTGCCTTTGCTGGCTCCTTTCTCCAGGTTAAGCATATTTTATGACTGTAGAGGTATAAATACAAATATATTAACATTATATAGTAAACGTTTGTTTGATCTAAACCTTTTTTCTCCTGATTTTAAAGAAAACCTTTTCATAGATCCAAAAATATTGTGGGCCCTAGCTAAGTCGTTTCTCCTTTCTTAGCCTCCCGTTTGACCTGTTCCAATATGGCCTTGGGGAGAGCAATGGGCCTGGAGTCACGCGGTGTAACCCTGCGGTTAACTGGTCGCAAGTCTTAGTTTGCTCGTCTATAAAATGAATGAGAGTAACGTATGTTTATTGGGAGTAGGGAAAATGAAAGTGAGTCGATACCGTAAGTAAACTGCCAAGCACATTGCTGGGCACAGAACAGGTGTGCCACAAAAGTTATTTCTCAGGCTTTCCCTTCCCTGAGCATCATCCTCCACAGGGTCCGGAGTGTAGCTGGGAGTTGGAGCAGCAGCCTCCTACGCGATGGGACAGAGCCCGCGGTGTCCGGTAGCATGCCACGATTTCTTCGTCAGACCCTGGGAATCCCACGTCGCAAAATAAACACGGCCGCGCTGCTAATCGCCAGTTCGGAGGAAACAAAACAGCGCTGCGCTCGGGGATCTGGGCAAAATCAGCCCTCCCTCCTCCCGCTCCTTCGCAGCCGCCCTCCCCTCCTCGCGCCGCTCGGGTTCGCTCCGCTCTGCTCAGCGCAGCGCAGCTCCGCGGCCGCCAAGCCGAGGCGGGCACGGTCTCCGAGTCGCCGACGCCGGCTCCGAGCTCCGCCAGGTCGCGCCTTCGTCGGGACCGCTTCGGGCAGGAGTCGCGTGGCGAAGGCCACGGCAGCGGCAAAAAGTTGGGGGCAGCGAGGATGAGGCTGTGCCCGGCGCCCCTGAGGCTGAGCCGCACCCCCGCGCTGCTGGCCATGGCGCTGCCCCTGGCCGTGGCGCTGGCCTTCTCCGACGAGACCCTGGACAAAGTGCCCAAGTCAGAGGGCTACTGCAGCCGGATCCTGCGCGCCCAGGGTACGCGGCGAGAGGGCTACACCGAGTTCAGCCTCCGCGTGGAGGGCGACCCCGACTTCTACAAGCCGGGAACCAGCTACCGCGGTAAGTGGCCGCCCGGCGTGGCGTGGGGAGTGCAGGACCCGGTCCCCGCAGGGCGCCGACCGCCCGGTGCCGGAGGAGGGCGCGCGGTCTCCGGGTGCGCGGCGCAGTGCAACCCTGCAAGGGCCCTTCTGTCCTGGCTACCCTCGGCCCTTGTAAGCCGCCAGCTCCGCGCGGATCATAAGCCAGTGTCCGGGACCGTCGCGGGGGCCGCAGCCAGGAGAGGCAGCCCGGGTCTCCGACGCGTGGTTCCTAGGCGGGGGATGTAACTGAGCCACGCGTCACGCCGGCCTGACTGCAAGGGAGGCTTGCTTCTCCTCCGGCCGTCTGCAGGAGGGAAGTAAGCCCGTTTTGCTCCAAATCAGTCTGGAGCGGACCCAGGCTTCTCTTGGTCGGGTCCCAGGCAAGGCAGCGACTGCAGCTTCCCCGCTCCGTCCCTGAAGGAGAGGGTACCCGCTTCTCAAAGACCGGCCCTGGGCGGGACGGCCACTCCGGCTTCCCTGGATAGGTCCCTTCAGGAAAAGGAACTTTGGCTTCCCCCTAACCGGTCGCGGTGCGCGGGAAGGAGGGGCAGGGACAGCCTAAAGATCCTCGAAAGGGTCTTTGGAAAGAACCCCAAATTATTCTCTCATGGTCCCAGACGAGATAGAGGATCTTGGGTTTCCAGAACAGATTCCCAGTGGGGACAGGGTCCTCAAAGAGCTCTGGGTAGGCTCCGAGCTGGAAGGGGAAGTGGATGACGTTGGAAAGAGAAGCCCCGATGCCCGAGGCCTGCTCCCTGGAGGCCGGAGAACCTTGACTCAGGCACCCCTGAGGCTCTGCCACCCAGGGATGTCGTTCCTACGCTGCTCGGCCGAGAGCTGGGTTTCGGGAGCTCAGGGAGGAAGTGTCCAAGCAGGTGAGCGCCTCCTGGGCGGGACAGGCAGCTCGACCAGCATCTACCTGAAGACCCCTGACTGTCCCCACTGCCCGCCGCCTCGCTCCGCAGCAGGGTCATCTCCCCACACATCGTTTCCTCTGGCAACAGCAGCCGCTTTCCGGGTGGGGGACAGGTAACCAGGAAGGGAAGGGAGCCTGTCTCGCCTCACTTAGGGTCCCACCAGGGAGCGTGTACCGTCACCCCCGCCCCTTCATAAGTCAGCTCTGGTGCTAAGCAGGTTGGAGTGGGTCATTGGGGCACCTGGTGGGGCAAATGGGCTCCCAGCTGCTGTACTTTTCTCCCTGCCTTCCCAGTTCCCCAGAGAGCCTTGGACGGAGGCGGTGGAAGCAACACAGGAGAAAGTTGGGGGCAGTGTCAGCGGGCGCCAGGGCCACCCTTCTTGGAGCTTTTTCCCCGTTTTCCTGGGTTTTTGTCCCTGACTTTCTCTACCCAGTAGCTACTTAGAGCCGGCTCCTAGGTGCCCTTGGCGCCTTGGCATGCTGAGCACTTGGCGAAGAACAGTCTGACCCCGGCGCGCAGCTCCGCGGGATCCTGGGTACTCCACAAAGAAAGATTCTGGGCGAACATCCCGCCCAGCCCGGGAGGGAGAGCGTGGGTTGGCACCGCAGTGGCTGGAGCGAGCCGCGCCGACGGGCGGCAACTGCCACTCGGTGGAGCTGAGAAGCGGCCGATCCTCCCTCTGGACCACAGGGAAGCGGGTGTGACCTCACTGGCCTATTCAGCCCTCCCCAAAACTGAGGACCTGGGTTCACAGGGGAAACTGCCACCGCACCACGTAGCAGAGAAAAAAGTGGCTCTGGAGTCCAACAGACTTGGGTTTAGTAGCTGTGTAATCTTGGGCAAGTCATTTAATTTCTCTGCACCTATTTCCTACCTGGAAAAAAAAAAAAAAGCTGTTTATCCATCCTCTCTTGGTAGCGGTAGGGAGTAAATGAGTTTACAAAGGTCAGTGTGCTTGAGCTAAAACAGGTGCCTAATATGCATGAGTTGAATGTGAGACCTTTATTGGTTTACCAATGGAGGTACGTTCTTGATCAGATTTTTTTTTCTGAAGTGTGTATGTGCGTTTGAAAGTAGATTTCCTCAGCTCGCCTTTAGTCCATTCATCTTGTAGCGAATGGTGGTTATTTGGGTCCTCATGAATTAATTGAATGAATGAATGAGATATTTCTTCATATCAGGAGCCTTGCCTAAGATTCTTCCTAATACAAGCCCAGGAAGATTTTTTCAGTGACTTATGCTAGTCTGGGGTTCAGGCCAAGTGTACCCAGCTTTTCACACTAATCTGCGTTTTAGTTGAGTATTGACAGCTGGTGGCCCTAACACTGGGAAGGAGGCACATCTGGTATTCACGTGGCCAAAGAGGTTTCAGAACTACCTAAAAGTCCAGGGCCCACAGGTGGGAACTTTTGTTAAAATAATTCATGAGACTTGATAGGGAGGGTCCTGGACTTTCACCCTACAGACTACTGCTGCCTAAACAGCCTTCTGGACTTTGACACCCCGACTCAGGCTGTAGATTGGGCAATCGTCTTTTCTCCCTTCTAATGGCTAAGAGACCTTTAAAGAGATCTTGCGGCCGGGCGCGGTGGCTCAAGCCTGTAATCCCAGCACTTTGGGAGGCCGAGGCGGGTGGATCACGAGGTCAAGAGATCGAGACCATCCTGGTCAACATGGTGAAACCCCATCTCTACTAAAAATACAAAAAATTAGCTGGGCATGGTGGCGTGTGCCTGTAATCCCAGCTACTCAGGAGGCTGAGGCAGGAGAATTGCCTGAACCCAGGAGGCGGAGGTTGCAGTGAGCCGAGATCGCGCCATTGCACTCCAGCCTGGGTAACAAGAGCGAAACTCCGTCTCAAAAAAAAAAAAAAAAAAAAAAGAGATCTTGCAGGAACCATGGTGAGTTTTTCCAAGTAAATATTCTGCAATTAGCAAACCTGATTCCGCCACTCAAAGTTCGAAAGAAAGGGTGCTGGCCTAGTTTGTGACATTTTCTGTTGGCTCCTTCTTTCTTAGAATAATTATGTTAAAAGTAACTCTAACACATTCTGCTCATTGTACTGACTTAGGGCTGTGAAGTTGGCATTCTCCTGGTGTTCTATTTGCTTTTTAATTTTTTCCTGAATTAGGATTCTTCACAATCCTTGGAATCAATGACTTGTTTTCCTGCCTCAAATTTTTGTCCACAGTTCATCCCCAAGTAGCTTCTGTTCTTTGTGCCTGCTAAGTATAGTCTTTCGGTACTCTAGACTGGAATAAAATGCTCACTATTAAAGAAATACTGAAACATGTGGTTTCTTCCCCAAAACCTGAATCCAGTTGAGATCATTATTTGGTCTTTTCCAAATTGTTAGTATTATATTGACTTCTTTTTCTCTCCCACCACTTCTCTCTACTCTCCCTCCCTCTCCCCATAATCTCCACTCCCTCCAACAGCAATAATTGTGCTTTAGAAAGCTCTGAAAGGCCTGCTCTGTTTCTGACCAGGGCCTCCTTTGAAAAGGAGATTACAGTGATTAAAAATAACAAGTTGAGGATCCTCAAGGGGCTTCCCTTATATAGGAGGACAATTTGCAGGACCAGGCTTTCCCAGATCACAATTTCAAGCCAAATAGAAGAAAATCCACTGAAATGTTCAAGAATTGATTGAAAATAAAAGAGGCTGTTTTGTCTTACTGAAGGTCTGTTTATTAGGAAAATAAAGTCAGACTCTGGCTAATGAGAATGGCGTTTCCTAGATGTTCTTTAAAGGGACATTTCAAGGAACTTGATGGGAAAAGAATGTCCAGTAGAGGTTTCAAAAGCTGGTCCAACTTCAAGCATAATTGAGGGTTTTTCCTAAACTGGGAGGTTTGGAAACCTCCAAAGCTGCATGACTTTTTCTTTGTCCCAAATTGAGACAGACACACACTGACCACAGGAATAGACACCTCAGCCTGGTGGGAAACGCATAGGCCTTGATGTTGGGTGGGTTGGTTTCAGTCTTGCTTTGTCACGTGTTCACTGTGTGATCTCAGGAAGCCACTTCACCTCTCTTAGCCAAAACTTCTCCATCTATAAAATTAGGGTGTTTTTTTCCCATCATTCCTGTGAAAATTAGAAACAATTCATGTCAAAAGAAATTGTCACACAGTGGTTGCTTAAAAAAAAAATGTTATGTGATGATTATTTTGGAAATAGAAACATACTTAGCAGCAAAGCCCTGGCTAAGATACTGTGTTAAGTTCTTCCTACTCATCTCCCTATTCCTCATAGTACTTTGAGGCAGTTTATTGTCGTTATTATTTTACGGATGAGAAGACTAAGACTCAGAGAGGTTTAGTTCCTTATCCATGGTCACACAGATAATAATTAGTGGAATCAGAATACAATCTTAGGTCAAAATCTGTGCTCTTAACCAGTCTTCTGTGCTGACTCATTGAAATTAGTTGGGAGTAGAATGAAATACACTCAGCTACCCTCAGCCTTCTGGATATTGAGCCTTCCTTCAAGGAAAACAGAACAACAAATCAAGTTAATAACTGACATCTCTCAGGACACAAAGTAATATAAAGTGATAAATCCTTATTCATATTTGCTGTTTTCTCTTATTGGCTTCAGTGTTACATTTTCCCATAAGCCAGAAGATTAATTTAGAAACGTGAAGAATCTTGTCAGTCTTTGGCCAATTCCTTTTGTTTGTGGGGAAACAAAAACAAATTGGGTAGGCAAAATAACAACAAAAGCAGAAAGAAAAGAAAAAAGAAAAGACAGATTTGACTGTTGTTTTATTTTTATGTACAGCTGTTATATAACCATGTCTGTAAAATTTTATGTTTGGAAAGGACACACTTAGGATCCGAGAAATGTATACTAGATGAGGCCTTTTATATAAACTATTCCCTGTATGGTGGAGTTTTTAAAAACGTAAGTGCTGCTGCTGATATTATAATTAAGCCACCCCTCCTACCTCTCTTCCCTTTTTTGCACTATTCCCCATTTTTTTATTATGTAACTGTTTTTTAACCGTTACTACTTTTAATAAATATTTAATTTAAACTGAAATTTAAAATTAGAAGATG